TTGAATATGGGCCGATCTGACGATCATAGATGTTTAGTAACATTTGAATTTTAGTTTTTTTCGTCTACAAATCCAAATCACTTGAAATTTTAGACGCGTGTTCATAAAAAAAAAGAGAATCTTCGAAAAATATCAAAAAAATATTTTACATGAAATAAATTGATCAAAATACCCCTAAAAAGTTTTGGGGTATTTTGGTCAATTTTTATTTCACGAATAATTTTTTTAAATATTTTTAAATATGTAGAAAATAAAATAAAATTCAAATACTACCGAACATCCGTGATCGTCAGATCGGTCCAGATTCAATCTCGATCGTTGGACTCATATGTTTATATGAGCTAGTGAACCAATCCCATCTTTTCCTATATGTATGTATATATATATATAAAGTCGAGATGATCAGTTAGATAGTTCTCCATTATTAGAACAATTACATTACGTACGTTACGTTTTTTTTTTTCTTGGAGAACAATAATTTTCCAGTACTAATGTAAACCACTTTTGAGGTTTTACGTTACTTTTTTCTTACTAGATAACTATCAAGAAAATTTTATAGAAAGTCTCAACCTTCTTCACTAAGAGTCTAGATGGATAGTGTATCCCAAAACTTTTTAACCTAATCAACATTTGATGAACAATTCCCCAACATAAAATGTGGTTTTGAATTTTTAAGAACCTGTAGCATGTTGTCCCTCAAATAGGCAGCTAGGGCATGAATTCTATATTTATTTTACTTTGTTTTTTGAATTTGATGGCCCTGTAATGAAATAAAGGGGTGTTTGGATACCTGAAAATTCATCTCCATAGATTTTTTTTTTATGAAGATGACACATTTATAACGTTAGGATTGAAATTTTGGGATGAAAAAGTATTTCTGCCAGAAATTATTTTGCTCATTTTAATCAAAAAAATAAAGAATTTTGTATCGTGGCCTTTATCCTAAAAAGTTGATTTCTCGACAGATCTCGAGATGCTCATTTTATAAAATACAATTAATTATACCAAAACACCCACACGAATTAGAGAGTAAAACTATATCAAATTTTAAGTTTTAGAGAGAAAAACTATATTAAAGTTTTAGAGAAAGAAACTACTTAAAATTTTTAGAGAGAGAAACTATCTCAAAATTTTTATAGAAAAACTATTTCAAATTTTAAATTTTAAAGAGAAAATATTTTAATATTTTAGAGAAAGAAACTATATCAAATTTTAGAAAGAGAATTACCTAAAAATATTTGAGAGAGAGAAACTATTTCAAAAATTTTGGAAAGAAAACTATCTCAAATTATAAAGTTTAGAGAGAAAAAGTACTTGAAATATAAAAAGAGAGACTATCTAAAAAATTTTAGAGAGAAAAACTATATCAAATTTTAAGTTTTAAAGAGAGAAACTATCTCAAAAATTTTAGAGAGATAAACTATCTCAAAATTTTTAAAGAGTGAAACTATCTCAAATTTTAAGACTTGAAGGGATAAACTACCTCAAAATTTATAGAGAAATAAACTATTTCAAAAAATTTAAATAGAAACTATCTGAAATTTTTAGATTTAGAGAGGGAAAGTAGATAGAGATTTCTAGAGAGAGACAATATCAAATTTTAAGTTTTAGAAAGAGAAAGTATCTTAGTAATTTAGAGAGGGAAACTATATCAAATTTTAAGTTTTAGAAAGAGAAAATATCTTAATAATTTAGAGAGAGAAACTATATCAAATTTTAGAGAAAAAAATATGTCAAAGTTCGAAGTTTTCGAGAGAGCAAGTACCTGAAAAACTTTTAGGAGAAAAAATCTCAAACTTTTAAGAGAAAAACTATCTCAAAATGTTTAGAGAGAGAAATTATCTCAAATTTTAAGTTGTAAAGAGGATGTGTCTTGAAATTTTTTAGGGAGAGAAGCTATTTTGAAATTTTTAAATAGAAACTATCTCAAATTTTAAGTTTTAGAGCGATAAAGTATCTTAGATGTTAGAGAAAGAGAGACTTTATCAAATTTTAAATTTTAGAGGGAGTATTTTAAAATTTTAGAGAGAGAAGCTATATCATATTTTAAGTATTAGAGAGCAAGTACTTGAAAAATTTTAGAGAGAAAATATCTCATTTTTAAGTACGGGTGAGGTCTGTATAGAGCCTAGGCTCTAAACAATCAAATTAGAGCCTACCCTCAAATAGTGTCAAGAAATATAGTTTTAATACTGAAATCTTTTTGATAGCCTTAAAATATATTTTCATCTTTATTTATAAATGTAGATCGAGAGATTTATGAAAACTTGAAAATCTTGAAAATTGATGGTCCAAAAGTGTGTTACAAAATACACTATTTCCAAATCTTGAAATCCAGTTTTTTCTCATGTCCATGCATCTTTATGTGGAGGTGATGAATTTGAGGATATTTGCACTTCAAAACAACCTCTTTTAGTGAAAATTTTGAAGTAGACTCTAATTTGATTGTTTAGAGCCTCGGCTCTATATAAGCTTTTCCCTTTAAGCATTAGAGAGCAAGTACTTAAAAAATTTAGGGAGAGAAAGTACCTGAAAAGTTTTAAAGAGAAACTATCCCAATTTTAGGGGGGGGGAAATATTCTCAAATTTTAAGTTTTAGAGAGATAATGTATCTTAAATTTTATAGAGACAAACCATAATAAATTTGGAGGTTTATAAAGAGCCGAGGCTCTAAACAATCAAATTTGAGCCTACCTCAAAAATCGCACTAGAAGAGGTTGTTTTAATGCTGAAATATCTTCAAATTGATCATCTCGACATCAAGATGCATGGACATGAGAAAAAAGTGGATCTCAAGTTTTGGGAATAGTGTATTTTATAACACATTTTTGGACTGTCGATTTTCAAGATTTTCAAGTTTTCATAGATATATCGATCTACACTATTTTTTAATCTTTAAACTTTATAAATAAATATGAAAATGTATTTTAAGGCTATCACAAAGATTTCCAATATTAAAACCACATTTCTCACACTATTTGAAAGTAGGCTCTAATTTGATTGTTTTGAGCTTAGGCTCTATACAAACTGCACCCATTAAATTTTAGAGAGAGAAATTATCTAAATTTTTTTAGAGAGACTATCTCAAAATTTTAGAGAGAGATCAAAATTTTAGAGAGAGAAACTATCTCACATTTTAAGTTTTAGAGAGAAAAAATATCTTAAAATTTTAGAGAAAAAAACTATATCGAATTTTAGATAGAGAAACTACTTGAAAATTTTTAGAGAGAAACTATCTCAAAATTTTTAGAAAGAGAAACTATCTGAAATTTAATAAAAAAAATGACTATATAATGAATCATGCAATCAAAGCATTTAAAGAAAAAAAAAGAAAAATAGCCATGAAAATGTTATGCATCAAGGGGCCATTCAAATAATAGAAATCTATTTTATAGAAAATATTTTTCTCAATAAATATATTTTAAAGGAATTCAAGTTTTTCAAGTAACATATTTTCATGGATCCAAATGGCCCCAAAAATGATTTACAATTTTTTGGAAAAAATAAAAAAAGAAAATAGTTTGATAGGGCTTCAATCTTATTAAAATGAAAAAATCCTCACCTCATAACTCATAGAAAATTGCAATTCAAGCATTGAAAAACTTTTACATCGATCATCTCAGCTTTGAACATTATGATTGTAAAAACAAAGTTAGAATTTCAAGTTCTAAAAATATTGAAAGTTGTAACCAATCATCTAGACTATTTATTTCACCCTCAAAATAAGTGTTTAAAGATCTTGCTCGGCAAGATTTGTACGATATTTTGAGTTTTGAATTCTATTATCAATCTCAAAAATTGATTTTAGAGCATTATGGAGATTTATGTTTCCTAACACTGTATCGAATTGATGAGAGATATGTACGTTAACTAGTATACGAACAACTAGTAGAGAGACGAGTGAATTTTCAATGACAATAAGTCTATATCCAATGGTCAGTATTGAACTCTTACCTCTTTGTTTTAGTTATGGATGACTTAACTAGGTACCTAGAGGATGAGGTACCATGGTACATGTTGTTCGCAAAATGATATAGCTTTGATCGATGAGGCCCGAAACAACGTCAACACAAAGTTAGAACTTTGGATGGATGCTTTAGAATCTAAATAGTTAATAATTATCCGGACTAAGACATAGTTATGGAATGCAAGTTCAGTAATAATAGAAGTAGAGACGAGGAAGTAGTTAAGATAAACGATCAGGAAGTACAAAATAGGCATCATTTTAGTATCTTGAGTCGATAATCTAAGAAAATTGAGAAATTGAAGACGATGTTGTATATAGAATTAGAGCTGAGTAGGCGAAATGGAGATATGCAAAAAAACCCATCTAGAATTTTATGTGATCGTTGCATACCAACAAAGTTAAAGGGTAAGTACTATAGGACAACTGTGAGACTAGCTTCACTCTATGGGGCTGACAAAAAAAAAAGCCGTAGAATGAGTGTAGCAGAGACGAAGATGTTGAAATTGATGAGTGACATGACAAGAAGGGACATAATTCGAAATGAATTCATTAAAAAAAAAATTAGGTAGCACCAATAGACGATAAAATGAGCGGGAGTAGACTTAGGTGAGCTAGCCATGTGTAATGTCGATCCAGTACAACACTTGTTAAGAACAATGTTATCAAAGTCGATTTGCTTCGGCTGAATAGGCCGAAGCCTTCGGATTTTAGGCATAAACCGAAGAGAAGCAATGTGGTGCTACCGCTTCGGTCAGATTCAAACCGCTTCAGGCTGCTTCGATCAAATTCAAACGCCTTTGGGTTTGCTTCGAGTTTGGTCAACCGAATGACCGAAATTGCTCCATTTTTCTTATCAAACCGAAAAAGATACCAAAGCATAAATACAACTTAGTTCAAGGGATGAGATTGAAAAGGACAATGAGTGGATCTAAAAAGACCGGTTGGAAAGTGTCCTAAATATACGGAATGTATGGCCTTTAATAGAACAAATGACGAACTAATATTCATGCAGCTGATACTAATCAATTGAAAAGAGGCTATGATCATTATGATGGAGATTGTGTTGCCAATGTGCTTTGTTTTGTTTCGGTGAGGCCTAGGCCTAATAGGAACTTCATCCAATAAACAATGTCGGTAATGGTTTGCCGAGGAAGGGACCACTTTGATACCGCGGGTGCACAAAAAATGTTCCTTTTCCTGTGATGGAGCTTCAATTTGTAGGCGTCGCATGCTGGTGCGAGTTCCAGCCGGTCCGTATTGCTTGGGAGAGAGAGCTTTCTAGAGAGAGAGATAGAGAGAGAGAGAGGGTTTTCTAAAGAGGGAGTTTTAGGGCGTGGAAGGAAGCAGCCATGGTGGAGTGTGCAGCGCGGGGCACGGGAACGCCATGCGTAGGGCCTGCAACAAGGCGCTGTGGCCTCTGTGGAGCTGTCTCCTACTGCTCCCCCTCTCACCAGGTCCTCCCCCCTCTTTCTCTCTCTTAAAGCTTTTTCCTCCTCCTTTCTCTTCCTAAATTCCTAGTTTCCTGTTAAAGAGTTTTTAAATGTTCAATGTCACTTGAAAGTTTTTTTGCTCCAATTTCTAGTTTCTTGTCAAAAAACATTTAAATGTGCAATGTCACTTGATTTTTTTTATTCATTAGATTAAGGAGCAGTAATCGATTTTGTGTTTCTTAGACCAGCTTAAAAACATGACTACATAGGCTAGCCTCGTTGGGTGTCAATGACCATAAGAAAGTTCAGATTACATAACAGAAATGGGATAGAAGACACTTGGAAATTGTAAATGGAAGATAAGAGATGCGTAGCTGTCATTGTTTGAGTCTCAAAAGTTGCAGACATTGTGTTCCTGGAGCACACATAACTGATGCTATATCTTTTAATTTGTTGGTGGTGCTTATTTGTTTAATGAGATGATTATTTTTTATCAGGAAGAAGAGTTGCACAGCAAATACATAAGAATAAGAGTTATAAAGATGCTTAATCACGAGAAGTTTTGATATAGAATCTGAAGTTCCAGTTTCCTGTAGCACTTCTGTGTTTGTTTACAAGTTGTTTTGGGTTTTCAAAAACTGAGGACCTACAGCTTCCAACCCCATGAAAGTTTGCTTATCCTGTTTTTGAGGGCACGTTTGCTAACTGGAAGGCTCGGTGCTAGAAACTTCCAAGTTGTTGTAGTTCTGGAAACTGCACAAGCATGAGAATTGCGCACTTGGACCCCCCATAGAAGTGCAAGCTTCTCAAAGAATGGGAAGTGCACAGTTCTCATGGTAGCTCGCCCTTCTTTCATTTATTTTTTTTTTTCTAAATTATAAATCGAGATAAAAATTTGAGGTTGAATTTACCTCATTGGGGGAAATAAATAATTTTCTTTTAAGAAAATTATTGATGATATCCTTAAATGTTCAAAATTTGAGAACTCAACTTTTTTTATTTAAATTAATTCCCTTACCTATTTTTCTTGATCCCCAAAATGCCCTTCACAGACTTGATAGGTCCGAAAAGGCTTTACGGACCTAGACCTCCGTAAAGGTTTTAACTTCAAGCTCCATAATTTCTTTTTTTTTATATTACGTCCACAAAGACCTTTTTGGACGTAAGTGCTTGCTTAGGGCCTTTACAACCTTTAAGACCTTTACGGACCTAATAGGTTTGTAAAGGCCCTAAACCTTGGGGGGCTTTACAGATCTAAGCTTGTAAATGCCACAAGCATAGTAGGCACTTGCTTGGCCTTTACGGCCCTACTAGGTCATTGTTTGCTGGCTAAAAATAAAGAGATCCTTACTTTAAAGAGTATGTATAGTCTTAGAACAAGAAATTCTTTGGGGATTTCAATTCGAAAGGGATGAACTAAACCAAGTATCCAATTTTTTCTTATACTATTTGATATTTATTTGAACTTTTTTACCCAGTTTAGGATTTTCTCTAAGAAAATTAAGAAACTCCGAATGTCTTGTATGTATCATGTCAATTTTTTTTGTTTTCCTTGTTGTAGTTTGTGTTAGAAAGGGGTTATCTAACGTAACATTCAAACATCGATTTCCATCAGATAATCTAATTTCAATTCAATTTTTTTAGATGATTTAATATTTGTAACATTTATATTTTGCATAATTTTTTGTTTAAAGTTCTATAGGACAGCTGTAAGACCAGCTTTGCTTTATCGGGTAGAATGTTGAGCGAACAAAAGATAATATACCCATAGAATGAGTGTATCAGAGATAAGGATGTTGAGATGGATTAGTGGCAAGACGAGAAGAGATAAAATTCGAAATGAATCCATTTGAAAAAATTTAGGTGCGGCACCAATATGTAATAAGATGAGAGAGAGTAGACTTACGTGGGTTGACCATGTCTATGTGTGGTGTAGACTCAATGCAACACTTATTAGGAGGTGCGAGTTAGTTCAAGTAGAAGGCTCAAAAAGGGCAAGGGGTAGGCCCAAAAGGTTGTGGTTGGAAGTAGTCTGAAAGGATATGGGGACTTATGGTCTCACTGAGAGTATGTCCCTTAATAGAGCAGAATGGCAAATCAGGATTTGTGTTGCTTACCCCAATTAATTGGGAAAAAACTACGATGACGATGATGATGATATTTTTTTAAAAAAAACTAGAGATGTTATGCATATATTAGTGTCTCATTAGATAATTAGATATCTAGTTTAAATATTATCCAATTATCTATTATACTTGTAAAAGTCTAAACATATATTAGATAATTGACAAATATTTGTGTTTAATTAGATATAATGTTTAATATATCTAGTTAAAGTTTTAACTCTAAACATATATTCTCTAATTATCTGATATATATTTTTAGGGAAAAGTTTATATTGAGCCGAGGCTCTAAACAATCAAAATTTGAGCCTACCTCAAAAATTTCACTAGAAGAGGTTGTTTTGATGCCCAAATATTTTCAAACTGATCATCTCGACATCAAGATACATGGACATGAGAAAAAAATGGATTTCAATTTTTGGAAATACTGCATTTTGTAATGCATTTTTTGACCGACAATTTTCAAGATTTTTAAGTTTTCATAGATCTATTGATCGACACTATTTTT